TTCCACCAATTAGAAGGCACTTCCTACCTGTTCATTTGTTTTGATCATTTGCCCACATTCTGTTTCACATCTACAAAATCATTGAATTGATTTGAAGTTTCACTGATCCTCTTCGAAAAGTCCTATGCACTAGTTATCTTCTGACCTAGATTAATCACCATAACTTGAGGTTTTGTGGTTCAGTGAGAATGCTGTGTTTTTTGATCCTCTACTTTTTACCTCCTTTTGATGAGACATGGGAAGTGTGTTTTTTCCTTTATTCATTCATGGGATGAGGGCATCACTAGCTAGGCAGCATTCATTGCCCATCCCTAATTGCCCAGAGGGCAGTTCAGAGTCAACCACATTGCTGTGGGTCTGGGTTCACATGTAGGCCAGACCAGGTAAGAATGGCAGCTACCTTCCCTAAAGGACATTAGTGAACCAGATGGGTCTTTCTGACAATCGCCACTGGATTCATGGGTCAGCATTAGATTTTTAATTCCAGATATTTTTTATTGAATTCAAATTCCACCATCTGCCATGGTGGGATTCGAACCTGGGTCCCCAGAACGTTATCTGGGTCTCTGAATTAACAGTCTAATGATAATACCAATAGGCCATTGCCTCCCCCTTGTATGGAGCAATGAACAAATCTTTGTGAGTGGGTATGGCTGTGGATGGCCATATAGCCTCCTGCAATGCCAAATCCAAAAAGCTCTTCAAGCCTAAAATTGGCTTCACCCAATTAGCACCTGCATTCTCTACTATGCAGGTATGTGCTGCATAAAAGCTGCAGCCATTCTCAATAACAGAAATGGATCAAACTCATTTCAGAGATAGTAGGAACTGCAGATACTGGAGAATCTGAGATAACAAGGTGTAGAGCTGGATGAACATAGCAGGCCGAGCAGCATCAGAGGAGCAGGAAAGCTAGGTCTTAGAAGGGTCTAGGCCCGAAACGTCAGCTTTCCTGCTCCTCTGATGCTGCTCAGCCTGCTGTGTTCATCCAGCTCTACACCTTGTTATCTCAATGGACCAAACAGGCTAGTGTGAGAACCGTATGAGAAGTCGGTTTTATCACTGAAAATAATGAGCCAGACCACAGGATGTGTCAGATTAGTACACGATACCTACAGTTCTCTGTGTAAAATGTATTAAACATGATGGCTCTTATCATTTGTTAGAAATTTTGTACAAAATCTACATGGAGTCTGGAGATGGTTATTGATTACTCACAATGCATTATTGTACAGTCATCTCACAAGGTACCCTTACAAAAGGTAAACAAGGTTTCCAAAAAAGAATGGATCTCTCACCATTATGTGGTTGCCTGCTTTCACAGAAAGCTCTGGAACAATAAAGTCTGTGATATCTCAGAAATGCAAGACTAAAAGTCTCAGAAACCTCATCTCCTATAGCATAGCAGCTGTGTGTGTTATATCAGTAATGAATGATTGAAACAAATGATAGATCCCTTTTCCTCACCTTGTCAGCTCTCCTGTGCAGCAATTTAATTGGGCTAGGCACTTTGGGAAGTGCTGTATTAACAACTGCTCAAGTGTTGTTTAGAGGTATCTTGTGGCTGTTTGTCCAATCGCTCTTTATTTAGCGTCTATGCTACCTTACTCTTTTGACAATGTTCGTGGTTCATATTTCATGCAATACACACAAAGGTTAAATCAAAAGTCTGAACAATCCACAGATATTAAACTGGAACCCAAGAGAAAGTGACTTTACAAGAGATGAGAACAACAACAGAATTGTTATTGATTGATGCGTCTACTGAGCTCAGACTGATACGATACTTATACAATGGCTGTAGGACCAGAACAAGAGTGACAACACAATCGGTAACAGAACCAACAGTGACATCATCATCAGTAACAATATAATTGGTGAGTGACACTACCGTCAGTGACATTGTCATCCGTGATGCTGCCATCCATAACACTACCATCAGTAATACAGCCATCAGTAACACCATCATCATAACACCATTTAGTGACACCGTCATCATTGACACAACTGTCACTATACTGCCATTTGTTGCATTGGCATCTGTAATGCTATCATCAATATGACACTACCAACAATGTTCCAACAACTTTAATATTATGCCACCAACGATGTGATTGATGTATCAATGTGATAGTGAAAACAGTGATTTATCATCAGTAGTGTACTATCTTCAGTGTTGCTGTACTATCGTCAGTGTGATCCAACAAGATGACATGACCAACAGGATCAAAGTCTTGTGTTTCTGGCTGTTATCATCGTGTGGGGTGATATAATGAATGTACTGTCCTGAGAGAGCAACAATTGTTGAGCACAAAGGTTAGAGCACGCTGTCCAAGATATTTCAATTGCCCTGGCTAGTGGAGATGGCTCCAATCCAGTGCAGCACATTTGTGAGAATGACCTTTAGGACTGCTTAAAATGCCCAACAGGCCACTGTTGCTCAGTGCACCTCACATTACATGAAAAATAAATAAAAACAAAGTCTGCAAGGCCCAACCCAGCTGGGATTCTAGCCAAGCATTCAAAATATGATACAAATAGATTTTTGTGATATGGGTGGACAGTGTCTAGGTTCTCTCAATGGTTTAACAGTTGAAGAGAAGCACCACAGTTCTGACTTTCCCAAGAAAATAATCGGTTTCTGGTGTTAAATAATATTTGCAAGGAAAGGAAAATGGTTTCTGTGTTCTTTTGTAAATCAGACTTCCAGAACATACTGTACACCTCTCTATATGGTTCAAGATTACCTCTGACTGCTGAGTATATGTCAATGAATTAGATACAACGTTAGATTGTTAGACTTGTTGTCAATTTACTCAAGTTACTTAAAAGGGGGAAATAAACCTTCTGAGCTGCCTGTAATATTCAAATTTCTTAGTCACTCCTTGTGCTGTGTTTAATATTGTTTGAAGCTCATTGGGAGCAGAGATTTTGTCCACAATTCCCCTTCTGCAAAAATCAGATGTTTGGTTCCACTGACCTCATGAGTAGGCAGTAAATCCACCATATCCACTGATGATGCCACTGGGGGTAGTTTGACAGAATGAAAAATTTCAGCGTGAAATGGCTCAGTTGATGGCACTCTTCCTTCAGTCAGAAGGAGGTTGGTTTATATCCCATATTTGTCAGAGTGAGAGCACAGTGCAATGTTGAGGGAGATAACTACCTGATGTTCACATGGACATTAAAGATCCCAAGGCATAATCTGAAAAGCAGGGAGTTCTCCCAGTGTCTCAACCAATATATTTTTCTCAGTCAACCCCACCAAAAATATACATTAACATCTTATTGCTGTTTGAGGTTTTTTGCTATCTTCTAATTGCCTGTCAGATTTGCCTGCAGGACGGTTACTGTGCCTGAAAGCAAGAGTGAAGCAACCTGAGATGTTTCAGAGGCGATAAAGTCCTTCTTTAACTGCCCAGCCTGTCTCTAACCAGCAATTTAAAAGCACAATACACAAAAACAAGACATAACTGAGAGGCACAGATATAATTGCCCTGTCTGCGATCTTTAAAACACTTAAAAGAGTGATGATTCAGTGGAATTTACTCCCCTTTAAACTTGAAGGTGAAAGGGTCTCTATGATAATTAGCTAATGACGTCCTAACAGCAGCACTACCACCTTTGGCAATTTTGTAAGTAAGTTATCGGTTTGTTGCTGATTAGTTACAAGGATAGCAAGAAGTCAGCCTTCTCTCTATTCTTCTTTTGTTCTTATTTCCTCTTGCTCTCCTATCACATACATTAAAATGAGAAGAGATCTCTAAGCATTGATCTCACTGTGAAGCAAGTTTGTGTGTAATGCCCATGAAAAATAGGTGGAGAGGAAACAAACAGGTCGAAGAGGCGGGGATGGAGCCAGTACTTCGACCTGTTTGTTTCCTCTCCACCTATCCTCTCCTCTATCCCTCTTCTATCCGCCTCCCACTCTCTCCCTATTTATTTCAAAACCCCCTTCCCCTCCCCCTTTTCTGATGAAGGGTCTAGGCCCGAAACGTCAGCCTCTCTGCTCCTATGATGCTGCTTGGCCTGCTGTGTTCATCCAGCCCTGCACCTTGTTAGCTCAGTATTTAATTTGGGTTTCTGGTTAGCCACTGCCCATTTGCACCTGTGAATGAGATTACAGCTGGTACCTGAATCATATGGGCTAACAAAAAAACAGGGAGCTGCAATTATTAATTGTATACTACTTTTTTAAGTATAGTTACTGGGGTCCTTATAAAACTCAGTCTTATTCTTTCGTTTAATGTGAACTAAACATCAGATTGAGTTGGATTTCTTGGATTTTACACTCTGCTTCCTCTCTGAAGGCACCTGGAACTCACTGAGAGTCCTGCTCTAATGTCTTATGCAAAGGCTGCACTTGGATTTTGAAAGTTTCTGTTTGCCAGCATTTCATTTCACAGCACTTCTATATACAAAGTTATAATTCACATCATTATATCTCAAACTTCAGTAAGTCCATCACCAGACACCTCATACCCCTCCCCAAATTAAAAACAGGATTTGATTCAATTGTCCCTCAAGGATCTTTGACAAATCAGCATTTTTCCAGTCCTTTCTTTAACATTCTCTCTTGCTTCAGGCATAGATGTCTCTAATGCTGTCCAGGAAGGACACTAAAATACTGACGGCCAAAGACAAACGGTCACACCTTAACAGAATGTTGACCTTGGCTAGAGTCCTGAGAATTTGATTGAAATCTTTCTTCAGTCCAGCTTCTGTGAATATAGTGCTAAATTGTGTTCAGCTTGACCTTTCACATGATTCCTTTGGTGCAGAAAGCTAAGCAAAAAACCAGGGATGTCAGACACACCTTGAATACGAGAAACCATTTCATTGGAATGTTCTGAATAGGAAATTGGAATTCCTTCACTATCTTGAAATCTTATTAATTTCTTTTTGCCAATATTACATCTTTTACTATGGATTGCCTTGTGCACTACTGAGTTGGGGCTGAAAGATTGCAAAAAGCCAGATGGAAACCTGTCACAGGCCATATTGACGAATTGTGTTTGCTGTTTCAGAATCATAGGAGACATCAGATGTCTTTACTCCCACTTTGGCCCAGTAATTGTCTTCGAGGTCACAGAAGATATTCTTTGAAATGTTGAGACTTGTTCTTTGAAAGTTGATCATTGGTTTTAAAAATACATCATTAAATTAAAATGCAAAACAATAATGATGGCTTTTAAAATGTCTTCTTAGGTTTGTTTGTGCCAATCCACATAACCACGTTCAGTCAGGTTATAAATCAGCCTGGGTCACCTGGACCTTTTAATCACCTTACTCTAGATTTGTGGAGGCAGATATGTTCAACGTCTGGGTAGACATAGAGATATCTGCAGTGTCCACTGGGCTGTGATAGTCAGAGGTCAGGTCCTGGTCAATTAGAGGAATGTTCATTGCAGCCAGAGTCAATGCTGTCACTGAACCTTTGCTTAAACTCTGGCTATAGATCATCAACAACATGTCCAGCTTTTGTTCAATAGATTGCACCTAGAATATACGGAGAAAAGACAGTGTAAATATAGGGTGAAACAAGGATACAGTGAAAGAAAACTACTGATGTTCACAGTGTTCAAATGTCAAAATGGAGATGTAGTCAGTAGTGATGTAGTAATCTGTAATCAGAGCTTGTTCCACCATTCACTTTGATCATGCCTGATCTGTGACTAAGCTTCATACTACCCTTACTCCATACTTTTTAATACCTTGGGTTAAAATATATCGATCAAACTCAAGATTTTAAAATCAGTTGCTGTTTCTGGAAGAGAATTCTATACTTCAACAGCCTTTTTGTAGAAGTGTTTCCTAACTGTACTTCTAATTTTTAGGAGATGGTCTATTGTTTTAGACTTGCAGTCTGCAGAAAGAGTGTACCTCCCGCTCTTTTATCAACTTTATGTAATACCTTGAAAACTTTGATCAAATCATATTTAGTGTGCTAAATTCCAGGGAAAATGATATTAATGACAGATTCGCCTGATGTTTTGTTGGATGAGTGTTGATGTCAGAGTTATAGACTTATAGACTCTGAGATTTACCTTCAGAATGTCTAATTCAGGAGCATTCAATGGTAAGTGTTTTCATCATCAGCTAACTGTAGAAAAAGATCTTTAGCATTCTGAATAGCATGGTCTTGATAGCAGCAGCACCTTGCAACAACTTTAATGTTAGGAATTTTGTCCTGCAAGTTACATTTCAGATAAATTTTAAATAGTGAAGCAAATTAATCCAGTATTTTTATGTGAGACTGGTTGGTTGTCCATATCTCACAGCCAAAGAGAAATTACATGAAAATCATTGTCCTGTAAATTTTTGTCTATGTTTTGAGACAAAGCCCTTGCTCTCCTCAAATCCTGTCAGTTAGTCTACTGAATGCTGAGCATATTTCTGCAAGACAAGGAAAATATGCTCCCAAGGTAGCGGAACATCTGAATTGAGTTGAGCGGTGTATCAATGATTGTGATTGGAGTTTGTGGTTAGGGATAAATTAGTGTAAAATCTCTGTCTTTCTCAGACTTATTGCAATGCTGAAGCATTCTGAGGACTGGACAGGGCAGTCAACAAACAGTTGGATGTCCTTACAGGGTGTGCACTATGATAGTAAGGTTGGTGACAAACTGGAGTTCGCTTAATAGCTGTTCTGTGATCTTTATGCAAGCCTTCAGCCTTTCCAGACTGAAGAAGTTGCTGTTTGCCCTGAGCTGAACGTTGTCTCTTATGTTGAGATCTTTGAATGAAAAGTAAATGGCAAACAGACCTGGAGCCTCGTTAATGGCATTGGTGACAGGAAAAACATCTCATGAGGCATTATTCTATATCACACTGACCATTACACTACCATAAAATGAGAAGGTCCTGAGCATTTTTGTCCAGCATTTTCATAGGCTTTCATGGTTTAATGTGCTGCAGCCCTTGATCAAGTAAATCAATACTATATAGAGATCCTCTTTCTGTTATAGGCTTTTCTGTAAGTTAATGTGCTGCATAGGTTGTATCGATCAATCTGCGTTAAGCCATAACGGAGAAAACCTCATGCTGTCGACCAAGTCTGTAAAATGAGGGAGAATCCTGTCACAACCTAAACATTAGCATATATCAGACTACGTTAATGTAGGAAGTAACATCTAAAGTCCTATGACGCACAGGAAACTCAGGAAGCTTGACATAACTATCCAAATAGAACTCACCAAGAAACAGGACAGGAACAATAATCACACACACAGGTTGGTGATTTCCCAGAAGATAACAGAGATACCGAAGATTCTTGGAATAGGTTAATGTATGTCACTCATAGCACAGCCTCTGAAATTATTGGATTCATCAAACTGAGGCAAACATGACCAAGATATAGACAAACCAACAGGTAACCTGATAACCATCAATCAGAACAAAAGCTGCAGACCAAAGGAAGTGTGATGAACAATGTACAGCAGGAGAAGCTGATGGCATTAAAAGGTTGCCAATAAGCATGACCTCTATGAAAGTCTGCAATCTGTCAATGACATCCATCCTCCCAGCGGACATTGATCAGGTCCAGATGTAGCATTGTCTTTCTTCAGCAGAGAATTTTAACAATCTCCTAAAGCAAAAATCTACAGTGTGCAAAGATGTCACTGAATCACTCCCATAGCAGTATATTCTGGATGTGTTTGCCCTTGTTCAAATTCAAGCTGACGTTACCATGACAATAAAGCAATTGTCTGTGAATAAGTCTCCATGCACCAATGGCATTCCCCTGAAGTATTCAAATACATGGAGGAGCTCACATGGTTAGGCCACTCTTGTTTAACCTGGAATCAGGGCATTGTGTTTTCAGGTTACAAGAATGTTTTAATAACTCACCTGTATAAATGGGAGAAATGCAAGTTCATCTGTGACAATCACTGTGGTATATATACTCTTTATACTGTGGGAAAATTCTTGCAGGGCTTTTTCTGAATACTCAGATCAGGCATAATTTTTTAAGTCTATATTGCACTCCATCCATGGCCAATTTACCCTTCCTAGGTTGCGGACCCCAGAACTGTTCACAGTAACTTCAGTTGTGGATTTGCACCTGCAGCATAACTTCTAGTTCCTTGTCTTCTAGTCCTCTAGGTATAAAGGCCAACATTCCATCAGCCTTGTTTATTGCTTGCTGAATGTGTTGACTATATTTAAATGTTCTGTGGAGGCGCAGAAGTGCAGGGTAGTGAACAGGCAAGCAATAATCAAAGTGTGACAGGAAATGGTAGAAAATATAGACAGAAGAGTGCAGCAGAAATTAGAAGCAGAGACAGTAATGATGGCAGTGGTTAAAGCTTAAGGCTTTTAATCTGAATACACGCAGCATTTGTAACAAGACAGAGGAGTTGAAAGCACTAATTAAAATAAATTACCACGTCTTCATAGCTACTACAGAGACATGGTTGCAGGGTGACAAAGACTAGGAACTTAATATTTTAAGGTATTCAATGTTCTGGAAGACTAAGCAAAAAGGAAAAGAAGGTAGGATAGCTTTGTTAATAAAGGAAAGTATCAGTGCAATGACATAGATGTAACGGATCATGATGTGGATTTGGTTTGGGCAAAATAAGGAAACAAGGGAAAGAAGCCACAAGTGGAAGTCATTTACAGATCCAGAAGAGTTGCCTCACTGTAGGATAAAGTATAAGCCGGGAAATAACAAGAGACGTGTAAGAAGGCAATTGTCATGGGTGATTTTAATTTGCGTATTGACTGGACAAGTCAGGTAGGCAAGAGTAGCAACGAAAGAGAATTTGTAGAGTGCATCAGGGATCGTTTCTAAGAGTAGTACATTATAGAACCTGTCCAGGAACAGGCTATTTTACATTTAGTAATGTGTAATGTGCTGGATTTAATAGGAGGCAATTAAGAATCTTGTGGGGGTAGCATCATAACATGGTAGAATTTCAAATTCAGTTTGAAGGAGAGCATCTCAAATACCAAGAAGTTGCCAGGACTGGAGAGCTTGAGTTATAAGGATAGGCTGGGACTTTTCTCATTGGGGCATAGATGAGAAAGAAAATTGATTATGAAGGTAAATTGGCAAGAAATACAAAACAAACAGCAAGAACTTCTACAGGCATATAAAAAGATAGAATGAACTCAAGTGAGTGGGGAATCCTTGGAGGATGCAACTGGGAAATTAATAATGGGGAACAGAGAAAGAAATATCAAACCAAAAGCAAGAATTTCTATGGCTATATAAGAAGAGATTAGATCAAGTGAGTGTGGGACCCTTGGAGGATGCAACTGAGAAATTAATAATAGGGAACAGAGGAATAACAGACAATTTAAACCAATATTTTGGATTGTTTTTCATGGAGAAGGACACTATAAACGCCCCAAAGGTAACAAGGTGCTAATGGGAGGAAAGATCTTGTAATGGTCTTTATAACTGGGGACAAACTAATGGGATTAAAGACAGTTAAGTCATCAGGACCTGATGACCTGCACCCAAGGGCTTTAAAGGTTTTTAAGGGGAGGTGATAACTTGGTGGTATTATCGCTGGACTGTTAATCAAGACACCCAGGTAATGTTCTGAGGTACACAAATCTGTACTCAAATCCTGCTATGGCAGATGGTAGAATTTGAATTCAATACAATCTGGGAATTAAGAATCTAATGAGATGTCAGGGAAAACCCATCTGGTTCACTAATGCCCCTTAGGGAAGGAAACTGCAGTCCTTACCTAATCTGGCCAAATCTGACTCCAGTCCCATAGCAATCATTGACTCTTAACTGCCCTTTGGGCAATTAGGCATCGACAATAAATACTAGCCTAGCCAGTGATGCTCTTGCTCCGTGAATGAATAAAAAAAAGTGGAATCATTGGTCAAAGTATTCCAGAACTCAATGGATTCTGGGATGGTTCCAGCAAACTGGAAAACTGCTAATGTGACATTAATGTTCATGAAAAGAGAGAGACAGAAAGCAGGAAACTATAGGTCAGTTTGTTTAACATCTATCATTGGGAAATTGCTAAAGGTCATTATTAAGGAAGAAATAGCAGATCACTTAGAAAAGCTTAAAGCAGTCAAACAGTCAAAAAACATAATTTTGTGAAAGAAAAATCACATTTGACAAATTTGCTAGAGTTATCAAGGAAATAACAAGCAGAGTTAAGAAATAGGAACTGGTAGACGAAGTGTTTCTGGACTTCCAGCAGGCATTCCATAACGTGCTATTGAATAAAATGTAACTATACAAGACAGCAGTTCATGGCATTCTGGGTATATATTCATATGAATTGGGAATTAACACACAAAAAACAGTCAGGATTTATGGGTCTTTTTTAGGGTGGAAAGAAATAACTACTGGAGTGGCACAAGGATCAATCGTAGGGCCTCAATTATTTACTATTAATGACATGGGCAGAGTGTAATATATCCAAAATTGTTGATGATACAAAAATAGGACGGAAGGCATATTGTGATGGAGACGTAAGGAATCTGCAAGAGTATTCAGATAGGTTGAATCAGTGGGCAGATGGAGTTTAACATAGAAAAGTGTGAAGTCATGCACTTTGGTAGGAAGAATCAAAAGTCACACTATTATTTGAATGGACAGTGACTCTAATAAAGTACAATAAAGAGGGATGTGGGTGTTCTTGTGCATGAAATGCAAAATGTTAGCATGCAGGTGCAGCAGGCAATTAAGAAGACAAATGGAATTTTGGTTTTTATTGCTAGGAGCTTGGAGTTTAAAAATAGGGAAGCCTTATTACAACTGTTCAGGCTGCTTGTGAGGCTGAGTGCTGTGTACAGGTTTAGTCTCTACATTTAAATAAAGATACACTCTCATTGGAGGAACATTTAAAAGAGATTCACTAAGATGATCCATGGGATGAAGGGGTTGACTTATTGAGAATGGCTAAACAGTTTAGGCTTTTATTCATTACAGCTTAAAAAAAACTGAGGGGTGATTTTATTGAAACACACAAAATTCTGAGGTGGCTTGGTAGGGTAAACTTTAAGAAGATGTTTCCACTAAGTGTGGAAATCTCAAACTAGGGGACATAATCTTCCAAAATTCTATTGACCTCAGGAGCTGTTCCCAGAGATTGGAGGGTAGTAAACGTAACTCCAATATCTAAAAAAAGGAGAGAAAATACAGAGAAGTACAGACCAGTCAGCCGAACATCAGCAGTGGGAAAAATGCTAGAGTCTATTATAGAAGACATGATAACAACATTTGGACAGCATTAATGGGATTAGACAAAGTCAGTATGGGTTTATGAAAGGCAGATCATGCTTAACCAATCTTCTGGAGTTTTTTGAAGGGAGAACTAGTGGAAATGGTAATCTGGATTACAAGAAGGTTTTGATTAGGTCACATATAAGAAGCTAGGGGACAAAATTAAAACATAAAGCACTGGGGAAAATATATTGGCATAGATGGAGAATTGGTTGACAGACTAGAAACAGTGAGTGGGAAAGACAGAGTATCATATAAATGGTGATATATTAGAAAGATTGGGTGTATAATGCAATCTGGGGGTCCTTGTACACCAGGCAATGAAAGTAAACAGGCAGTAGCAGCAAGCAGTCAGGGAGGCAAATGGTATATTGACCTTCATTGTAAGAGGATTTGAGTTCAGGTGTATGAATTTCTCACTGCAATTACAATGAAGACTGGGTGGGTCTATACTGGGATATCATGCATAGTTTTGGACTCCCTATCTAAGAAATGATATACTTGCTGTAGAGAGAGTACAGTGAAGGTTACTCGGCCAAAACCGGAGATGGCAGGATTGTCTGATGAGAGGTTGGTTTCACTAGGTCTAACTCAGTAATTTAGAAGGATGAGAAGGAATTTGATTGAATCAGATAAAATCCTATAAGGGCTAGGCAGACTAAATGCAGGTAGGATTCTTTCCCTGGTTGGAAGTGTAGAACCAGAGAACAGTCTCAGGATACAGGATAGACTATTTAGGACTGAGATGAGGAAACATTTATTCAATCAGAGGGTGGTCATCTTGTGAAATTCTCCACCACAGAAAGATGTGGAGGCTGAGTATATTCAAGAAGAGTATTAATATATTTTAAGATACTAAAGGCATCCAAGCAGGAAAAGGCATTCATATACAGGATCAGCTATGACCATATCGAAAAATGGAACCAGCTGAACCGGCTGAACGGCCTAATCCAGTGTCATTATCATTTCATTACCAAGCCTCCTTTTTCATTTACTCATGGGATATGAGTGATGATGGCTAGGCCAGCATTTATTATCTGTCTCTATTTGCCCTTGAGAAGGCGGTGGTGAGCTGCGTTCTTGAACCACTGCAGTTCACATGGTGTAGGTGGACCCTCAATGCCGTCAGAGAAGGAATTCTAGCATTCTGACCCAGCAACAATGAAGGAACGGCAGTAAATTTCCAAATCTGGATGGTGAATGGCTTGAAGGGAAACTTGCAGGTGTTGGTGTTTTCATGTATCTGCTGCCCTTCTAGATGGTAGTGGTCGTGGGTTTGGAAAGTGTTGTCTAAGGATCTTTGGTGAATTTCTGCAGTGCATCTTCTGGATAATATACACTGTTGCTACTGAAATCTGGTCGTGAAGGGAGTGGATGTTTATGGATGTGGTGCCAATCAAGCAGGCTGCTTTGACCTGGATGGCATCAAGCTTCTTGAGTGTTATTGCAGCTGTACTCATCCAGGCAAGTGGGGAGTATTCCACCACACTCCTGACTTGTGCCTAGTAGATTGTGGACAGGCTTCAGGGAGTCAGGAGGTGAGTTACTTGTTGCAGGATTCTGAGCACCTGATCTGCTCTTGTAGCGACTGTATTTATATGGCTATTTCAGTTCAGTTTCTGGTCAATGGCAACCCCAGGGATGTTGATAGTGGAGGATTTAGTGATGGTAGCATCAGTCAATGTCAAGGGGCAGTGGTTAGATTGTCACTTGTTGGAGATGGTCATTATCTGGCACTTGTGAGACATAAATATTACTTGCCACTTGTCAGCCCAGGCCTGGATGTGGACTAGATCTTATTGCAGTGGAACATGGGCTGCTTCAGTACTTGAAAAGTACTGAACATTGTGTAATCATTGGCAAACATTCCCATTCTGATGCTTTGATAGCGGGAAAGTCATTGATGAAGCAGCTGAAGATGGTTGGGCCAAGAACACTACCCTGAGGAACTTCTGCAGAGATCCTGGAGATGAGATGACTGATCAGTAAGAAACACAACCACATACTTTTGTGCTGTATACGACTCCACCCAGTGACAGTTTTCCCTCTGATTTCTACTAACTGCAGTTTAGCTAGGGGTCCTTAGTGCTGCACTTGGTCAAATGTGGTCTTGATATCAAGGAGAGTAATTCTCACCTATCCCCTTGGAATTCAGCTCTTTTGTCCATGTTTGAACCAAAGCTGTAACTATGTCAAGAACTGAATGGCCCTAGTGGAACCCAAACTCAGCATTGGTGAGCAGGTTATTGGTGTTTTCGCCCATTCCCTTGATTCTATATATGAAAGAACACAGAGGTGAAATGTTTAACATAAAGGCGAGAGATTCTGTAAACACTGCAACATCAGTTAACAAGAAGAGTCATAGAGATGTACAGTATGGAAACAGACTCTTCGGTCCAACTCTTCCATGCTGACCAGATATCCTAAATGAATCTAGTCCCATTTGCTAGCATTTGCCTGTATCCCTCTAAACCCTTCCTTTCATATACCCATCCACATGCCTTTTAAATGTTGTAATTGTACCAGCCTCGACCACTTCCTCTAGCAGCTCATTCCACACACGCACCACCCGCTACGTGAAAAAGTTGTCCCTTAGGTCCCTTTTAAATCTTTTCCCTCTCATCTTAAACCTATGCCCTCTAGTTCTGGACTCTCCCACCCCGGGGAAAAGACCTATCCATGCCCCAAAATTTTATAAACTTCTGTAAGGTCACCCCTCAGCCTCTGGCGCTTCAGGGAAAATAGCCCCAGCCTATTAAATCTCTCCCTATAGGTCAAACCCTCCAAACCTGGCAACATCCTTGTAAATCTTTTATGAACCCTTTCAAGTTTCACAACATCTTTCCTACAGCAGAGAGACCAGAAATGAATGCAGTATTTCAAAAGTGGCCTAACCAATGTCCTATACAGCTGCAAAATGACCTCCCAACTCCTGTACTCAAGGCACTGACCAATGAAGGCAAGCATACCGAATGTTTTCTTCACTATCCTGTCTACCTGCGACTCCACTTTCAAGGAACTATGAACCATCTTCAAACTTATTAATTGTACCTTCTACATGCAAATCCAAGATATTAATTTACATAACAAACAGTAAGGGTCTTAGCACTGATCCTTATGGTACATCGGTGGTCAAAGCTCCCAATAACAAAAACAACCCTTCACCATCACCTTTTGCCTCCTATTTGCAAGCCAATGTTGGATCAAGTTGCTCACTTTCCTTGGGTCCCATGGGCCTTTTGGATCAGCTTTCCATGTGGGACCTTGTCAACAGCCTTATTGAAGTCCATATAAACTACATCAGCTGCAATACCCTCATCAATATATTTCATCACCTTTTCAAAAACTCGATTAACTTAGTCACTCAGGATCTCCATCCAACAAATCTGCACTGACTATCCCTGATCAATCCCTGCCTTTCCACGTATTGATTGATCCTGTCCCTCAGAGGTTTTTCCAATAAGTTCCCTACAACTAATGTCAGACTAGCTGTCTGTAATCACTTGGCTCATCCTTGCTGCCCTTCATGAACAAAGAAGCCACATTAGCTCTCCTCCAGACATCTGATACTTCATCTGTTGCCACAAAGTATTAAATATTCCACCAGGCCCCAGCAAACTCCTCCATTTCCTCCCATAGCATCCTGGGATACCTCTCATCAGGCACTGGTGATTTATACAACGTTATGCCCAGTAAAACATCTAATATCACCTCCTTACTAAAGAGGACATCTAATTGAAAGGGGTGAAATTTAGACAAATTATCAGCAGCATGTTGGTAATAATCAGATGTGCTGCATGAGGTTTAGTGGAAAATGAAGGATAAAAGTTTGCTTGCTACTTCCTGAAGCTTTGGACGTTTCCTGTAAAAACCCACTCTGTCCCAATGCTTGCTTGATCATAGCAGGTAAAGGTTGAATTGATTTCTCAGAGGTATTCCACCTAATTTTGATTAATGTTGTTCAAAGCGTTTGAAGAAAACTGTGGATAGGGTTTGGAGAAGATGCAACACTTATAATAAGATGTTACTGGCCAGACTTCTGCCTTACGTTTGAGAGGCCGGGGGAAATCCTCTGATCTGCAAGACAGTGATGACTCTCCTCTCCGCAGATTCAGTTGGTATCAAATGGACTATTGTGGTGTTCAGTGCAGCACTATGTTCCATCCATGGGTAAATTACCTGTTTTTCCACTTTTATCACCCGTCCCATCATGCTCAACTCATCAAAGGGTTCCAGTTCTGGTGGGACTTTCTCTCCTTTTTCACGCAATTTCTTGTCGGTGGGCATTTGGCCTTTCCCAATGATTTGGTCAACTCTACGATGAAGTAAAACATCAAAGTCAGCAAAAATCAAAACCATGTCTGTATTTCTTCCTGTTTATTATGCTCAAGAAATTTTAAAAAACCCAAGGCTTGTTGCAGAACTGCAATTCTGTTGGGCCTTGCTTATAGCAGGGAGCTTATTGGAAATTAGTGAATGCTGTGTGCACTTTTATCCAACTATTGATTTGATGGTCAGAAATTTCAAGCAACTTTCTCGCTGAGTACTTTATGTAGGAGGTCAACATGATTGTGCGGGGCAAGGAATATTTTTCACTTTATCTTGCTTAAGCTTTTGAAAGAGGCAGTTAATGGTGAAGATAACAGGATTTAAAAAAATTTAAATTTGAAACAATACAAAGATCTCTCTCCTAGTAATATACAGATACATGCCCTAAGTTTAACCTCTTTTTCAGTTTTAATGTGGAAAGGCCTGGTTTACTAGACCTCAGTAAAACCTTACAATTGAGGTTCATGAGAACGTCTTTTTTCAAAAAGTGGCTTTCCAGCACTGCTGGTGAGTCAGTGCGAACAGGAGTTTTTGCTTTGGAAGGGATACAGAAAAACTTCATGATAATGGTCTCAGGGATGAGGAACTTGAGTTATGCCAATAACTGGATAAGTTGGGACTGTTCTCCTGTGAGAAGAGACGTTTGAGAGTGGAGTAGATTGAGGTGTTCAAAATCAGGAGGGGTCTTGACAGAGTAAAAAGGGAGGTACCATTCCCATGGGTAGATGGATTGAGAATCAGCTAAAGGTAATTGGCAAAAGAAGCAATCAAGATATAAGGAAAACCTGCTCATACATCAAATGGCTAGGGTCTGGAATGCACTGTCTGAGTTTGGTGGAGGTAAATCAGTCATGGCTTTCAAGAAAAATTGGATAAATTCCCAAGGAGAAAAGTATTTGCAGGGCTACAGGCAAATCGTGGGTTTGTGAGCCTAATTATGTTGCTCTGGCAGGGAGCCAAATTGGCTGAATGACCTCCTTCTGTGCTATAATATATTAATAATCACTTTCAGTGACCAGCCATTAGGGAAGGGCCATTGTTTGATCTGTTCTATGGCAGCAGACCCTTGAATCAGGTGAGAGCAGACATACCTGGACTGGAGGCTCTTGATTCGGCCAAGCATGTCCAGATGACCAGCAGAATATTGCTCGATCACATCTTTTACGTCATATGGTCGCAAAGTCTCTTTAAACTTTCTCTTTGCTACAAGAAATTTCAGGATCCTACAGGGAGAAGAAAGTGAAAAGCATTTGGGAAATGCAGCAGCAGGTGCTTTCATATTATTTGAGAGCTATTTGTTAATCTATAACTCGAACAAAAGGAATCAAGTTTACAAGCTGAGAGACCAAGAGAACTGCTATTAAATATTTCAATAATATCTAGAACATTCCACGCCAGCACGTCCCCTTTTATTTTCCCAACAGTTTTCTGGGTTTTTCAATTAGATTCACAGTTATAAACTCAGCAGAGTGCCATTCCACCGAACCATGAGAACATATTCAAGTGTTTCATTGCAGAAAGTAAATGGTCTGTGATAAACAATAGCATAATTCAGCAAAGGAGGACCCAAGAAAAACTGATAAAGAAAGGGAAAAATACAATGTGAAAGTAAGCTAGCTAGGAACATTAAAACAAACTTCAATCAGTATGTAAAAAGAAAACAAAGAGAAATGTGGGTCCATTACAGGAGAATTTATTACGGGAATTGAGTAAATGACGGCAATGTTAATCAAATACTTTGAATTTGTGCTTACAGAGGAAGGTACAAAAATAGTTGCCATAAGCAGTTGAGAATGAACGGCTTAGTGAGAATGAGGAGCTGAAAGAAATTACAAGTAGTAAAAATGTAGTTCTAGAGAACTTAATCAACTGCAAATTGATACACCTCCTTGGACCCATTGATCTACGTAATGTTGAAGGAGATTGCTATCTTCCAGAATTCTACAGATTCTGGAAAGGCTTCTGAGGAATAAAATGGAAGCCCACATTTTAAGAAAGGAGGGGAAGAGAAGCTGAGGAATTATAGACCTGCTATCCAACAAAATTAGGCAAAATGCTAAAATCTACAACAGACACTGAAAAAACAATGGTAGGGTTGGGCAGAGTCAATGTGAAATAGAAACTACATTTGGAAAAGCTGCTGGAGCTTTTTAAGGATACATCTAGCAGAATAGATAAGGGGGAATAAGTTCATGTTCATAGAATAACCATAGAATCCCTACAGTGTGGAAGCAGGCCATTCAGCCCTCTGACCCTCCAAAGAGCGTCTCACCCAGCCCCACCCCCTACCCTATCCCTGCATCCTGGACACTATGGGCAATTTAGCATGGCCAATCCACCTAGCCAGTGTCCCAGGCCCAAACATTTTTATCAATGACCTTCTCTCCATCATAAGGATTGCACAAGGTTCAGCACCATTCGCAGCTGCTCAGACACTGAAGCAGTCCATGTTCAAATGCAACAAGATCTGGACAAAATCCAGGCTTGGGCTAACAAGTGGCATGTAACATTCAATCCACACAAATGCCAGACTATTACCATCACTAATAACAAACAATCTAATCACCGTTCCTTGACATTCAATGGTGTTACAATCACTGAATTCCCCCACTACCAACATTCTGGGGGTCACCCCTGACCAGAAACTCAACTGGACTCGCTACATAAACACAGTGGCTTTTGTGAATGTAGTGCCAATCAAGTGGGCTGCTTTGTCGTGGATGATGTCTAGCTTCTTGAGTACTACTGGGCTGCAATATTAGTAAGGCCTTTGACAAGGTCCTGCACAGCAGGCTAGTCATGAAGGTTAGGTTGAATGGGATCCAGAGAGAGCTAGCTAATTGGATTCAAAATTGGCTTGATGGTAGGAAGCAGAGGGTGATGGTTGAAGGTTGTTTCTTGCACTGGAGGCCTGTGACGAGTGGTATGCCACAGGGTCAGTGCTGGGACCTTTGTTATTTGTTATTTACATAAATGATCTGGATGTGAATGTACAAGGCATGATTAGTAAGTTTGCGGATGATACAAAATTAGGTTATATCGTTGATAACGAGGAAGGTTATCAAAAATTACAGAGGGATCTTGATTAGCTGGGGAAGTGGGCTGAGTATTGGCAAATGCAATTCAATACAGAGAAGTGTGAGGTGTTGCATTTTGATAAGTCAAATCAAGGTAGGACTTACACAGTAAATGGTAAGGTCCTGAGGAGTGTTGTGCAACAGAGAGACCTAGGAGTACAAGTAGATAGTTCGTTGAAAGCAGTGTCACAGGTGGACAGGGTGGTGAAGAAGGCATTTAGCATGCTGGCCTTCATCAGTTGAGGCACTGAGCATAGGAATTGGGACGTTATGTTACAGTTGTACGAGTCATTGGTGAGGCTGCACTTGGAGTATTGTATACAGTTTTGGTCACCCTGTTATAGGGAAGACATAGTTAAACTGGAAAGTGTGCAAAGAAGACTTACGAGGATGTTGCCAGGACTAGTAGGCCTGAGTTATAGGGAGAGGTTGGCCAGGATAGGGCTTCATTCCTTGGAAAGTGGAAGAATGAGGGGTGATCTTATTGAGGTGTATAAAATCATGTGGGGCATAGATAGGATGAATGCATATAGTCTTTTTCCCATGGATGGGGAATTGAAGACTCGAGGGCATTGGTTAAAGGTGAGAGGGGAAAGATTTAAGAAAGACCTGAGGGGCAACTTCTTCACGCAGGCAGTGGTGTGTATTTGAAATGGGCTGCCAGAGAAAGTGGTTGAGACAGGTATAATAGCAACATTTAAAAAAACATTTGGATAGGTACATAGATGGGAAGGTTTTAGAGGGATATGGACCAAATGTAGGTAATTGGAACTAGTCGAGTCAGCACCATGGTCAGCATGGACCAGTTTGGGCTGTAGGGCCTATTTCCATGCTGTACTACTCTACGGCTCTCTGAATCTGAGAGCAGATCAGAGGCTAGGAATACTGCAAGTAACTCACTTCCTGACTCCCCATAGCCTGTCCACTATGTCCACCTGTCCAATGGACAAGTCAGCATTGTGATAGAATACTCCCCACTTGCCTGGATGAGTGCAGCCCCAATAACATGCAAGAAGCTTGACACCATCCACAACAAAGCAGCCCGCTTGATTGGCACTACATTCACAAGTGTCCACTCCCTCCACCATTGATGCTCAGTAGCAGCAATGTGTACTATGTACAAGATGCACTGCAGAAATTCACTGAAGAACGTCAGACAGCACCTTCCAACACCACGACCACTTCCATCTAGAAGAACAAGGGGAGCAGACACGTGAGAACACCACCACCTGCACTCACCAGTCTTACTTGGAAATATATTGCTGTTCCTTCATTATCACCCAGTCAAAATCCTGGATTTCCTTCCCTAATGGCATTGTGGATCAACACTCAGCAGGTGGTCTGCAGTGGTTCAAGAAAGCAGCTTAACATCGTCTTCTCAAGGGCAACTAGGGACTGGCTATAAATGTTGGCCAGTCAGCGATGTCCACATCTCACAAATGAATTTGCAAAAGTCAAATATCACCCAGTGCCTCAGTTATCAGGAAAAGCTCTATACACAATTACAGTACTTAAATTATTTATCTTTAGGTCTGCTGAGATCTCAGCACACTGTTACAATGACACTGTTCTTTATCTACTCTATCTTCCATTTTCAGAGCGGCATGGTGGCTCAGTGATTAGCACTTCTGCCTCCTAGCACTGGGGACCCAGGTTCAATTCCACCCTTGGGCAACTGTGAGCTTTAATATTCAATGGCACTAGAGAACATAGAACATAGCACAGTACAGGCCCTTCGGCCCACAATGTTGTGCCAAAATTTTACCCTAATCCTAAGATCTATCTAACTTCCATCCCTACCTTATACTATCATCCATATGCCTATCTAATAGCCGCTTAAATGCCCCTAATGAGGCCGACTCCACTACTCTCTCTGGCAATGCATTCCACGCCCCTACCACTCTCTGAGTAAAGAACCTACCTCTGACATCTCCCCTATATCTACCTCCACTCACTTTAAAACTATGCCCCCTCGTAATAGCTACCTCCACACTCGGAAAAAGTCTCTGGCTGTCCACTCTATCTATCCTCTGATCATTTTGTACACCTCTATCAATTCACTGCTCATCCTTCGTCGTTCTAAAGAGAAAAGCCCTAGCTCTCTCAACCTTTCCTCGTAAGACCTTCCCTCCATTCCAGGAAACATCTGGTAAATCTCCTCTGCACCTTTTCCAATGCTTCCATATCTTTCTTGTAATGTGGCGACCAGATCTGAACACAATACTCCAGATGTGGCCGAACCGGGCTTTTGTATAGCTGGAGCATAACTTCATGGCTCTTGAACTCAATCTCTCTATTAATGAAAGCTAACACACCATACACCTTCTTAACAACTCTATCCACCTGGGTGGCAACTTTCAGGGAACTGTGGACATGAACTCCAAGATCCCTCTGCTCCTCCACACTGCCAAGAATCTTGCCATTAACCCTGTATTCTGCTTTCAAGTTTGTCCTTCCAAAATGAATCACCTCACACTTTTCAGGGTTAAACTCTATCTGCCATTTCTCAGCCCAGCTCTGCATCCTATCAATGCCCCTTTGTAACCTCTAACAGCCCTCAGCACTATCCACAACTCGACTCACTTTCGTATCGTCCGCGAACTTACTAGTCCACCCTACCACTCCTTCATCCAAATCATTTACAAAAATCACAAATAGAAGAGGACCCAGAACAGATCCTTGTGGTACACCACTCGTAACTGAGCACCATGTTGAATATTTTCCATCCACTACCACCCTTTGTCTTCTAAGGGTCAGCCATTTAATTGCTGAATCCTCCATAATCAACATCCTGAAGACTGGCATTGAAGACTACCCTCAAATTGAACTGCATCTGCCATACAACTACGGTACCTACAAGAGCAAGCAAGAGATTAGGGCTCTTGCTGTGAGTAACCAGGTTATCCAGCAATAAATGTTAGCCCAGCCAACGCATTCCACATAATAAATGAAAACAGTCTAACGTTTGTGACTCACATAAATTTTCTATCATTTTCTATTTCATGAACCAATGGAAACTCTCAAAAACAATTCTGTTACATCCTTCATATTTATAATGCTGTCCATTTGGACAACTTTTAATATTTTAGATGGAGTAATATCTCAAATTCCTCTTTATATCTGTAATCCCTCATCCTTACAAATAT